CTGTACTTCAATTAAAAAAAAAAAGAATATGTCCTAAATGTTCGTTTCAAGCCTAATTCCTTGCTTTATGATTTACCTCCAGTTCCTAAACATGAGGGCTGAAACTTCCATCCAATTCAGGGATTGCTTCGTATGACTCTGTTAATTAAGATTTTATTTTATTAAGAATAGACAGAATGGGTCTGATGAAGCCACATAAAAGCACCGGATGAATTCTCTCATGAAATCCAAGCTGCCTGATTTGACTTTATGCCTGCTTCATTTCTCTAATATTCCTTTTATCTTAAGTATGTCCTCTAAACTTCATTAACATCAAAAAGATTTTGTTAAGTACTTTAACGGAACATGGCACTGTACAAAGAGGCTTATAAGAACCAGATTCTTGTTATTTAGCAAGTTCAAATCACAGACTTAAGACAGAAATATTTATAGGACTCACACGCTTTATGCAAATACAGGCCATTCCTTGATTTACTTTGTATGATTCATAACAGCTAATACTTCCTGAGTCCTAACTATGTCCCAGGCATTGTGTGAAAAGCACTTTCCTTAATCTTCTCCATGAAGTCCCCTAACAACAATGAGGAAGGGGAGACACTGACAAGTTACATAAACCTTCCTTAGTTAGTTATTAGTCACTCAGTCACGTCTGACTCTTTGCAACACTATGGACTGTAACCCCCAGGTTTCCCTGTCCATGGAATTCTCCAGGCAAGGATCTAACCCAGGTCTCCTGCATTGGGAAGGTCCTTAGGAAGGTCATCTAGCTGTGACACCAATCCAGGTCGGACTCCGAGGCCAGACCGGTTCTTTAACCACTCTGACCTACTCTTGCGCTTTGGCTTATAACCTCCTCTCCCACAAATCTATCGCCTACTAACAGCCAACTACGCTCACTCGGCTTTCACAGCAGCTGCTGCCTGCAGCAGGGCACGGATTGTGGCAGGCATGGTGTGGAGACCGACCTTCCTTAAAAAGTGAAATTCTTGGGCAGCCAGATAGCATTGGATTAAGTGCTGTTAAAAATAGGGCAATCTTTGACTTCCCTGGCGATCCAGTGGTGAAGACTCTGTGATTCTAATGCAGAGGATGTGGATTTGATCCTTGGTCAGGGAACTAAGATCCCACATGCCTGCCACATGGTGCGGCCAAAAAAAAAAAAAGAACAGGGCGGCCCTGACAACACAGAATTATCAATCAGACGCAATTCTACTCTAAAAATAAAATCTGGACAGTTGGGACTCCAGACTGTTTCAAAGAGCTCTTCATTTAACCTGCAGGGAAACCTTAATGAGAGTGTTTCTGCTCCCTGGCTCCCGTGCAAGTTTCTGTCCTCATTCATCCCCTATTTCCCCTCACCCTCCAGTTAGAAAAGACTAGATCATTGCCTCTACTGCCTAATTAGCCATCAGGGCTCCGGCCTCTGCCATCTGACTTCTGCCTCCACCCTCCTGCTGGAAGCACTCTCCCAAACGTCAGCAATGATAACAGACCATCATTATAATAATACCCAGTGGTTTCTGTGGCTTAACTGGGCTCCAAACCTCATACTTGGAGATTTCTTTACACTGGAAAAACCAGGAGAACCTCACGGCTGTACGGTTTTGGCTTGGTTGGCTCGATTTTTAAAAATCAAGTCAGTATTCAAAGATCAGAACATCTTAGACAAAAGTCTGTATTTTGAGCGATGCTGTCCAGTTTGCTACAGTCCTCACGGTGAATATATGTACACTTGGATCTATCCCACCGCTCTTATTTATGTCACCTGCCTGACTCCCTATATGAGCAGTATTTACTCTCCGTGTCCTATGTGGATAATCTGGTCGGGACTGTGTAGCTGCCAGGAAAAGAGATATTATACACCTTAAACTTACAGAATGTTATATGTCAATAAAACTAAGGAAAAAACCCACATTCGCCAGATGGTCTATCATGACTTGTAAAAACCATCAAGTCCTAGACAAGGCAGGACCATCTTCTGCGATGTCCAATGGCCCACTCCATTTTCTGAGCTGTCGTTAAGTTTCAGCCACCTGCCCTATTTGCAGACCTGCCTTGTCAGATCAGCACTGAATGCTCTCTGTGCTATGATACCCTGGGGCTGATCCTGGACACTTAAATTATACCCCAGGTTGCTTTTTACTCTCTCCGTCATTCTCTGGGTCTCAGCTCCATCCTGGCTGCTGGGGGTTGCTGGACTGCTGACACTTTATCCTGCATACAAGCTCTGGAGACAACCTTCTTCACCGAGGGTGTTCAAAAACAGAGCGAGCTCTGACCAGAGTAATCTTCTCAAAGTATAGTTCTGATTGGATCCTTCTCTTCCTCAGAATGCTTACAAATTAAGTACAAACTTCTCAGTTAAGGCAGAGAGGGTTGTAAAAACACAGAACCCTACTTGGGATGACTCAGGTCAGATTTATGACATGGATACAGGAATATTACACAGGCCTCCAGAGCAAAGATCAGGAACAGGCTGAACCATAAACAGAGACTGGCAAACTTTCTCTGTAAAGGACTACAGAATAAACATACTAGGTTTTGCAAGTTATCTGGTTTCTGACACTCTGCCAGAGACAACAGGAAAAGTAGTGTGTTCTAATAAAACTTTATTTACAAAATAGACAACCAGCTGGATTTGACACAGAGGCCAGAGTTTTAGGGTCCCTGGGCTCAAGCATTATCAGAACTCACCGAAACATCTCTGTCATCCTCCACATACCTACTTTGTTGTTCTTTTCCTACCAACTACCATCCTTAGCATCTCTGGTTCTCATGTTGGAAAATGGCTTCTAAAAGCACTGAGCTTCCAGGTCACAAAACACTTCCAGGTCAAGTGTTCTCACTCTTTCTTGATCCTCATTCTAAATTCTTCGGGCAGAGATGTGGCCAGGCCTTTCTTGAGTCAGATACTTACCCTGAGACTAATCAGCTGTGGCCAGGAGTTTGGGTCTTGCTTTATGAACCAGGAGGGTGTTGGGAACCCCACCCCCAAAATCTCTTAGATCAAAGCAGAAGAACAGATTCCAGAAAAGGGCAAGGAGTTGGGTAGACAAGTCAGTGAGAGTCCCTGTCTGCATTCATCCAAAGCTGTATTTTCAGCATTGTCCCATATTAGAACCCTGATGTTCCTTCTTGAAGTAAAACGAACCGCTTGCTGTTCCTGTGGACCCTGCATATTCCATCCTGGATGTGTGAACTCAGCCGCCTCCCACTCTTTGTGACCTCATAGACTGCAGCTGGCCAGGCTCCCCAGTCCACAGGATTTTCCAAGCAAGAATACTAGAGGGAGCTGCCATTTCCTTCTCCAATATTCCATCCTGTATCCCTTCCATCTGCTAGCAGAAATTCTACTCATCTTTAAAGACTCTTCTAGAAGGCCATCTTTTGCCCTCTCTTTTTTTTATATCCACACAACTCTATTGGTATAGTGTGTCTTGTCTCATTGCTATTTCTGTATCTGACTTTTTTGTTTTGCAGTCAATAGATGCTCTGCTGACTGAGGAAAGGACTTATTCAGCATTTCATGCACTCTGGTACCTGTCAGAGCACAGGCTTGGAGTTCTCATTTGTTGAGTTTAACCATATCCTCAAAGCTGAATAATTGCAAACCGAAGAAATTTAGACTTTATGAAGTTGCATCGATACAGGAAATATGGTATCTACCTTGAAGAAAATTATGTTTCAAGATATAAACATTCATTTCCACATTTAGGGTAGCCAAATTAAAGTACATGTGCAGAGAAAGATTATTTACAGCCAGGAAAATGTATATTTAAAATTGTCTAATAGTAAGAAGAAATAAAGTCACATTAAAATTGTCTTTTCCGTTACTGTACTAAATAGAAAACGGTATACTACAGACATGACTTCCGATAAATAATAGTGAGGGTTATACACTGAAGTAATCAAAATCGCTCTAAAAAACAAATACTCCAAAACCATTAATGTTTATGAAAGAATTTTACCAAAGAGCCAGAGGCTTCATCATCTTATCTCTTTCTTCCTAGAACTATTAATTAACATTGTTTCCAGAACTATGCTAAAACTCCCCTGCTGAAAGGAAGACAGTAAATACAGGACTGCAGAGAAAACTGGTTCATTCTTCAGGAACTGTGAGAGGCTTGCGCTTTTGTGAAACAGAACACACTTGCTGAAGAACTATTTCTAAACTGTTAGAAACTACCTAAAAGCTTTTTTATTTTAACAGCATTCTCCTGGGAGACTGCGCTGGAATGTGCAGCAGGTCTAAAAACGGCACAGATTTGGCTCAAATCTGTAAATACTAGGTGCACGGAGCCCGAGCCATTGTGTAGGGAAGCGGGGTGGGGCGGGCGGGGTCCCGATTCTCGATGTTGATTAGTAGGATTCTAATTTCGCTTGGGGCTTATTATTTTTTTTTTTCCTACGACAATTACAGCTTCGCTAGAAAAATAAAATATCGGTTGTGCTCTCACCTGGGTTTCTAATTTTCAGCGTCTACCGAAAAAGAAAACCTCGTATTTATTCCCCAAGAATTACCCTTCTGCAATCTGCTGAGCCGCTGGGAAAACAGGAGCGCACAGCCCCACCGCGCCCCCCGACCCCGTCCCCAGCGCGGCCACCTCCCAGCCGCCCAGTCCACCCCACGCGCGCCCCGGAGACGATGGGTCTCCGAGGCATCACTGTTGTCTGTTGACGTTTCTAGGTGTGGGGAATGCTCCAAACCAGTAAACCACTATACACAGAACCCCAGCTCGGACACCGAACCAAGCTATCCTCGCTAGCTTTCCTTTCTGCCCGGCCTCCGCCCGCCAGGATCCTTGCCACCCCTCGCACAGTGTCTCCCGGCACCTGCGCGCGCCCGGGACGCAGGCTCAGGGACTAGGCGGCGGGAAGGAGCCCGGCGACGGCCACTCTGGGGAGCGGCCCGGACTACAACTCCCATCACGCCCCGCAGCCGGCTCCCTCCCCGGCCCGGCCCCGCCTCCCTACCTCGGCCGGCGGTCGGGCAGAGCCGAGCTTTTATCTGCAGACCGGTCGGCCGGGCGGGCTCCCGGTCCCTGCCGTCTCCCCTGACGCGAGCGCTGTGCAGGGCAGCGAGGAAGGCGGCGGCTCCTAGGCGAGTTCTGCCTACGCGTCCCCGCCAGCCCGGAGCCCGCGGGGGGCGCAGAAGGTCCGTCCCGACCCGGCGAGAGGATGGTCATCCGCGTGTTCCTCGCCTCCTCCTCGGGCTTCGTGGCGGTGAGCACGTAGGGGACCGGCCGCGGGCCGGGGTCGGGTCCCGCGGGGCAAGGGGGTGCGGGTCCCGCGGGAGACGGGCGGCGCTCGCCCCTGTCCGTCTCGGGGCGGCGGGAGCCCGCGCCGGGCAGGTGATCCATCTCCCTCGGACGACAATGAACGGGGCGGGGAGCCAGGGTGGGTGTGTGTTGGAGTGGGGGGACCCCGGACTCACCCCACATGCCTACCCTGCACGGTCCGAGAGGGAGACCGGGAAGTGGATTCGGCGGGAAGCCCCCGGCTCTCGTCGGGAGGCTCGTGGATTTTGGAGAGGGGTGGTCAGAGAGCTTCGGGCGGGGGGCCCGGGGGGGGGTCCCACTTACCTTGATGGGCTTGACCGGTTTGGGACATTCAGCCTGGTTCCGTTTGATACGGGAGCTTGTTAAGCTGCTTGGTTTGCTCACCCACCTAGCTCCCGAATGGAACAAGTTTAAGTGGAACTTGCTCTCCACCCTCTGTGCCCCGCCGCCAAGCACGTTACTTCAGCTTTATACCTGCGCGGAGAGAATGGTAAACCAGGTTTGTCCTGCTGTGCCAGGGCTTTTTTCTTTCTCGCCTAAGATGCTATAAATATGTTTGCATTTATATGTAAATATGGTGTGACTGGTTCATTTTCCCCTATAATGCTGCGCTCAATTTCATCTTGGGGGTGTCAATTGTGGTCTCTTCAATTATTTTAAGCTATTTTGTTTGGTCCGATGTTCTCGAATTTTCTTTTTCTTTTTTTTTTTTTTTTTTAGGGAGAAGTTACATAGCTAGATGTCAGACTTTAAGGAAAAATTCAGTAATAATAGCTCACTGAGTAAGATATCTAGCAGTATGTTTTCCATGATTATTAAGATTTGGTTACCTTTAGCTGCGTTAAGCTGTAGATTTCAGGGGCTCTCTAGTGAGATACAGAGTTAAATACATCAAAAAGTGCGGTATTGATTGTTTCAAATTTAGTCCGGCCAGTTGGTTGCCTGCCCGGAGGGTCAACTAGGTTTTCCCCAAATTTGTTTCAGAAGGCAGGTTCGATGGAGAATCGAAGAAAATGTCATTTGCAACATAACACTGAAGTTTTTTATTTTAAAAAGAATTAACTTGTGGTAGAAAAAAAGGCCCCCTTTTGTATTAGTAACAGGAGATGGGAAACTCCAGCTTATCTTTATATGCAGAAATGTTCCGGTCCCCAGACTCCTGATAGTTTTGGTGTTGCTTGCTCTCTGGGGCTGCTTAGTCATACCTGCCTTTTATAGATCCCTCCACTGCTTCACCGAAGCTACACTTCATGTGTTTGGAAACCCATAGAGTTTCGTGGATAGATTTTTTTCACAGTCACTCCTTCATAAGAGTACTACAAAGCTTTTGGTTTCACCATCAACTTGCATGCTCCCATACTTACTGCAATAGTATTTCATTGACTTTATAGTATTGATATTAAGAAGCCGATGTTATCTATGTTGGACAAGTCAGAGTCAAAATTCTGAGGTCATTACTTGGCTTATCCTTCAGTAGGTAGTATATCAAGAGAGTTCTGGAACCCTGCATCTCTGTTTGCTTATTTCCATTAACAGATATTTATTGCCTGTCTGCTATGTGCCTTTTTAATTTTTAAATTTAATGATGGGTGTTTTGCACATGAAGCTAGACCTGAGAGAACCCAGGCAGGCTCTGATGAGCAGAGTGAGCTTGGTTGAAGTACCTCATCTCTGCCTGAGTTTCTCATTGATAGAATGAAGAGCTGTGATGAAAAACTCAGCATTCCACTCTAGCTTTAAAGTGCTTTGATTTAATTAGTTGGATAAATGCGGATAAATCCTCATAACAGCTTCTTTCACATTGACAATATACATGCTAGTATCAAAGTGAATTTTTTTCCCTTTGGTGTTTTACTGGGATCCCCTCACTGCCCCACCCAGTTTGTGTTCTAACAGATAAGGTTTGAGCTGGAAGACATACTCTGTTATCACGTACCATATGTGCAGCCCGTGAACACTAATTATCTATTTTAATGTACCTGATCTTTTTGGGTCTCAGACAATCCTCAGTCACTGAATCTCTCCACTTGTAATATTATCTCCTCTATCCCTGCACAGTTTTTCTGTAGTTAATATACCATGGATACTTTTGGTAATGAGAAGTTTCTGCTTATATGCAAGAATAGTGATTTCTAAGAGATAATGAGGTTGTTTAGGTCAGCTGCTGAGCAGTAGAGGCTCCCTGGGGCTTATGGCATTATGCTGTATTGAGCTGGGAGGGCATAGCAGGGTTTTCCCTCCAGCAGTGTTGAACTGACCATTACTCTGTTTTATCCAGTGGCCAACCATGACCAGCAAGTGCGTGGGAGAAAGAATATTTTGATTCCTAAGTCAGTTTGGTTTTAGTTGAAGTTGATTAAACCACACGGAAGTAATGTGACTGAATGTAGACTTGGCTAAGTAAGTCCCAGGAGTTTCCAAAAAGATGCTCTGCCCCAGTCCACAATAGATTTAAATAAACTGTTTAGGGAAAACCCTCATATCTTGTTCTGATTTCCCTGAGCTCTCCAGCTTCAACACCTAACAGTGGTAATTGGAATAATTAACACCAAAAGGTTAATTGCCATTTTCTCTTCCTCAGCTCAGTGTAAAATCTGCTTTTATAGGAAATAAAAGCAATGCCACATTATTATGCTGTGGCTACCTGAAAATCAGATTTCTTATCCAGCTGTCATTCATATCGTAGTGAAGGGCATTTTCTTTCAGTCCTAAGAAAATACCGTAGAAGTGCTGTTTTAAGACGTCTTGATTTATTTTGGTTGTATACCCAGCAGGGGTGATCTTGGTAACTTTATCCAGGAAATGTATTATTAACATGACATTTTAAGAAACTTTATTTTGTATTGGAGTATAGATAATTACAGTGCTGTGATAGTTTCGTATAGTTTTCACACAAAAACTATGATGGTAAAGTGGACGGGAAAGGGATTCAGCCATACATATACATGTGTCTTTTATTGAAAAACATTGAAATCAGCCAGTTATTTCATATTCATTATTTTATTCATTCAGCAAGCATTTTCTAAGTGTCTGCTGCTTGCCCAACTCTGTAAGGACAAGAATTGCCTGGGCTAGGAAATTCTTTTGGGAATTGGAGGAGCGCAGAGGGTGTGGTTTCTATGTCCTCAAAGAATTCAGGTGGGGATCACGCCCAGGAGATAAGATAGGAAAGGTGAAACCGGCAGTAATAAAGTACAACCCAAGGACACAGGCCTCTTTCGGGAACATTCTTAACAGAGATGGAAATAATATAGGCGGCAGAGGGATGCGTTGCAGGATGTCAGATAAGGAGGAGATGTGCCAGAAGCCATCAAATATGCATGTGGGAGCCTCAGGCAGATGGCGGAGAGAGGAACTGACTTGGATTTGGAACGGAGGGGAGAGTGCCCAAGCCCACCGTGTTCAGGCTGGAGACGGGGAGCCTTAGATGGGAGGGGGCAGGCTGCAGGGTTCCTGTGGCCCTCTCTTGAGGACAGGGCAGACTCAGAAGTGTTAGTCGCTCGGTCCTGTCTGACTCTGTGACCCCATGGACTGTAGCCCACCAAGCTCCTCTGTCCATGGGATTCTCCAGGCAAGAATACTGGAGTGGGTAACCCTTCCTTTCTCCAGGGGATCTTCCTGCCCTGGGATCGAACCTGGGTCTCATGCATTGCAGGCAGATTCTTTATGCCTAAGCCACCAGGGACGCCCATGATAACAACGTCCAGAGTGCTTAGCTTCTCAGAGGTGTCTTCAAAATCTGCAGCTGATGTCTGGACCCTTGTCCCCAAGGAGGAAGGTGTGATCTCATGGGGAAGGACCCCGGGATATGATTTCAGGTTCTTTACCTTCCTGCCTGTCTTGACTGATATCTCTCTAAAAGGAGGGAAAGCTTTTCACTCTTTGTTAAAGTCCTTGGGCTCCAGTGTTGGGGCTGGCAGAATACCGAGAGATTTTCTCATGAAGTCCAATCGCCTCATGTCACAGAGAAGGAATATGGGCTGAGAGAATAAGTGACCTGTTCTGAGGTCATTTGTGTCAGTCAGAGCCTAGCTGAGGGTTAAATGAGCCCGGTCACCTGACTCCTGAATGTGTGTGTGGGCCTGGAGTGTATTCGTGCCTTGATGGACTCATTCATATGTTAATCACTGAAAACCAACTGAGTTCCAGGCTCTGTCGACAAAGCTCTGTATAGTTTTTCCAGTAGTCAGGTATGGATGTGAGAGTTGGACCGTAAAGAAGGCTGAGTGCTAAAGAATTGATGCTCCTGAACTGTGGTGTTGGAGAAGACTCTTGAGTGTCCCTTGGACTGCAAGGAGATCAAATTGGTCAATTTTAAGGGAAATCAACCCTGAATATTCATTGGAAGGACTGATGCTGAAGCTCCAATACTTTGGCCACTGATGCAAAGAGCCGACTCGTTGGAAAAGACCCTGATGCTGGGAAAGATTGAAGGCAGGAGGAGAAGGGACGACAGAGGATGAGATGTTGGATGGCATCACCAACTTGTTGGACATGAGTTTGAGCAAACTCTGGGAGATGGTGAAGGACAGGAAAGCCTGGCGTGCTGCAGTCCATGGGGTTGCAGAGTCAGACACAACTGAGCGACTGAACAACAACCAGGCTCTGTGAGGTGCTGTTATATGCTAGGTGTATACCACGGTCAGGAGAACACAGACTGCCTAACGGCATAGATCAGTGCTGACGCCCCACCGCTCGGAGACTTGGACTGTAAACCATTTCTCCAAGGAGAACACAGAGCTGATGCTGGCCTGGGGGATGTTTCCATGGGACAAGGTGAAATGAGCCTGACAGCAGTAGTATATCACTGGATGTTGGACAGGACAGTCAGTGGGAGGAAAATGTACAGAGAAATGGGAAGCAGAGTTGGAAGACGTGGACCTTTGCCCACAGCTGCAGCGCTGTTTTCAAGTGAGGGTGGGAGTGGAGGGGAAATGTAGGAAC